TCTCTCTCTCTCTCTCTCTCTCTCTCTCTCTCTCTCTCTGTTGTTGTGGATGACAACACGCTGCTACTGTTTTCTTTCTCCAGCCAGAGTTGTTATGGGTGACAAAAAAAAAACAACAAAAAAAGTCGTTTCCACCGGCGACTCGTGGGTTTGTCTGGTATTTACTGACCCCGCGCTGCAAGAATGCTCCGCAACGATGTTTCAACTACAATGATGTTTGTTTTGTAGAGGACATTCATCGGAAACACACACTGGTTGCTCTTCGCGGACATTTTAATGTGCTATATATTATTAGGAAACAATGCGATGGTTTGCTCTCTTAAGTGAGACTTTGTAAACTTAGCCACTGTTGCTACAAGTGATTAGCTAAAGTGTGCTAACATTTAACAACCCAAAAGCTGCCAGACCATGTAAAGTAAAGCTGCAGCAGCAAAACCCCTTGAATGAAGTAATAGTGTATTGTATTTCTTAGGAAAGACTCTTGTTATCACTTCTGTCAAAAGTCTTGCTTTTAGTGTGCTCTAAAATATGAATGAAATGCACATTTTCCATTTGTTTATTATTAGTTATCAGGAAGTGTCTGAGATCAAAATGAATCAGTCCTGCTAGAATAAGCTACATATAGTGAACGAGTGGAAACGTGTTATTTTTAGTGCTTCAGCTGACACAAATGTCTCTCAGTCATTCCTGCTTATTTCTTTTCCAGTCCTGCTTTTCTGAACTGGGAAAAAAAACAAAAACCTCCAAAATATATTCCCTGGAATGATTGTATATAATATAACTAACACAGCATTTATTTATTCAGTTTGTTTTAAGGTGTGAGGAAACAAAAGCAGCAGCCAAACGTCCTCTCCTGCTTTGCTTTGACGGGAGAACAGAGCTCACTTTGCAGACAGCGCCAGTGTTGCCACTGCAAACGGGTCATCACATTTTCAGCTCTGCGCTAGATTACACAGTCACATAATCGCTGTGGTCACAACAGTAGTACTCTCCCGTCAAACGAAAAAGAGACGGCGGCTCATCTAGTTTATTTATATACTTTCCCAAGGAAAGCCATCCACTATAGTGTGAACACACAGGATGTATCTCGAGTGTCCTACAGCACCGTGTCTCATTTAACCAGGCAGCATCTGTCTGCTAAGTTAAAGTTCAAATGTGTTTTTCTTTACTCGGCAGTTTTATTCTTAAACCACAATAGTTTCCTCCGAGTCATCATTTGTCAGGCGTCTGTTCCTGCTTCCTGGCGATTTGTCCTTTCTGTCACAGGAGTCAGGAAACACAGTAAAAGGCCAAATAACAAAAACGCTTCATGATGGACTTTAACCTTTGAATTAAATGATCATTGCAACGGCTTCAGTAAAGATATTATACATATTAGGTTGAATACCCAGAATATGTTTTCTCATATCCCCGTTGAGTAGCATCAGCTTCTGGTTGCTGTTCCTCTTTGTGGAGGGACATGTCTGCGTATTTGTGATAAGTTGTCACATTATTACATTTCAGCAGTTTGGACAGTTGCACCCTGTAAATGGATCTGTTTGGAGAATAAGCTTCCATGTCAAAGAGCTGACTGGCCTCTTTTAAAGCTGATGAATGCATCTATTTGACTACAAATTCTGACCCGATCATTATAATGAAGTGACTGCAGACCTTTAAGTTATAGTCCGTGAGGTGTGTACATTATTTTGCCTACCCCAGGTAAAAGAGGGTAGTCATTTCTGTAAGGATAGTAATGATAAACCTGAGATGGGCCTAATGCGTGGGATCAGTATTTGTAAGAGAGACATGATTATTCTTGTCTTTGCATTAAGTTTGAGGTGTGTGAGATGTCTTCACCTCCCCCAAGTCTCGACATGATAATAACAATAAAAAGTAATGTTAAACTTGTAAAAATAATTCCTCAGACTGGTTTTATATGTTTACAAAGTACCTAGTTACTGTAATAGGCCCATCTTCTTCCCCAGGCTCCTCCCTAAGTTTCTTTTTGATAGTGATAAACAACCAGAAAGACCCAAAATTTATCATTTTTTGGGGGTCATTTGCTAAAAATGACATTAAGATAATATTTGTTGTCAGTTCACACGGACGGAGCAGGATGGTATTTCCTGTGTGCAGAGCTGCTTGTCCCCGAGGAATGTGTGGAATGTAATTTCTGGTCCTGCCGTACTGCCTGCTGGAGGAGACGGCAGGCTGGGAATGCGTCCGAGAGACTGTCGGTAACCCCCCCCCAACCCCGCCCCCCCCGCGGAGCGCTCAATCTCCTCAGTGCCCGACTCCTTTGAACCAAAGCAGAGGGATTCAATGAGTCGCCGAGGCGGGATGAATCCATTGAGTGTCTGTGTGCCACTGCGAACATCCCCCTCATTAGAAAGATCTTCACCAGAACCCCCGCGTCCTTGTTTATCTATAGCTGGAGGAACGTGCCGCTGGATGTCTCCCTCATGCAAAGTCATGTGAAGGCTGTAATTGAGGCTCTCTGCTTTTCAATTATTTTTTTTTCAAGATTTTTATCGGAGGGGGGATTAGATGAGGCTCCTTTTTGAAAGTGGCTTCTTCTCTGTGGCCTGTGAGCCTGGTGTTGGTGAGAGCAGAGCTGCCAGCACATCAAAAGACGCTCTGCGATGGACTGACAGAAGAATAGTGTAAATATTACAGTGTGTTCACTCTCCGCCCATTGGCCAATTAGCCTGAATGCCATTGTTGTTGAGCGATATCCCCCACCCTTTGTTCCTCTCTGAAGCGTCGCACAGCACCAGCTGCTGTGCCACATCATACCTGCTTCTCACGGTCCACTTCATGCTGGTTAATGAGGCGGGATCTCTGCCGCCATGGCTAACTTTTCTCACACGCATTTTCGAGCAGGCTTGCGATGAAATATTTAGACTTTGCTCATTTCAAAGCCACGGTACATCTGAAATATAACATTTTAGCTCACCAATTTACAATACGAACCCTTTGAACACCAGAACTTTTTCCCTTTTGAAAACAGGAATATTTCCTTTTTTTCCTCTGAGCTTCTAAAAACACTTCACCTTTATGTACCACAATCCTTCGAGAAACCCGGTGTCAAACTTGTCAGAATGTATGGATACAAAAGATGTTCCCCTGTTGAGTACATTTAGTTGTTAAAGTTTTCCTTCAGACTAATGACTTGTTTTCCAAAGTTTAAATAGAAGAATATCTCAAAGTATCTTAAAGAATCACAGCGCTGTTTTATCACCCATGTATCGCGATAACAAAAGCAGTAACGCAGTATAGAATAAAGGCCACAGTGCTGTATCCTTCTCTGTAGTTCTTGCAAAAATGATTCAAATGAAGGAAAGGGAGAAATGTTTTAGCTGGCATCTAGTCAAACTTCTCACACATGCAAAGAAACAAGAAAAGCTGTAATCTGCGGTGTCACTGAGGGAGAATCTGCTGCAGCTTGACACTGCATGGCAGAGTGCTTGCCTCAGCGTTAACATCAAACGAGCCTCAGTTAATTGTGGTGCTAACATAATTATGTAAACATGTTCCAGGTTTTCACGGTCACTCTCTCATTACGGTTTAATGGCGTACCTTAAGGAAATATCTTTCGTTTATATTCCCAGGAGGAGCTCTTGCTCAGCCTTTCAGGAAACTGATCCGTTGATCTTTTAAGACATTTATTTAGCATTTTCTAATGGTACCTATTTGTTTTCTTGCAGATGAGAAGGCCTCAGGGGGGCAGTTGACCCAACAAAGGAGGAATTGTTGACTTGAAACTGGCCATCAGCCCTCTCCAGCCATGTGTTCCACAAACCACTCCAACTGGGTCACATTTGAAGATGACAGCACGCCGCTCCCGTCGCCTCAAAAGCCCCTACAGTCACCGGGGCTTCTCAAAGCATCGGTACCGCGTCCCAACGGCCTGAAATTAGTCCTTCCTCCAATCAGAGACACTTCCCGGAGCTTCAATAGTTCTCTGGAATCCCCTCAAAGCCACTCCAGTCTTAGTGGAGGTTCCTGTGTACCGTGTAACACGCCCTTTTGCACTCCTGTGAGCGGGGTTCCTAACAGCGCGTCCCCGTTCCACTCCACCGCGGTCGAAAAGAATGACTTCTTCCGGAGTTTCTCCAGCACGTCGACCCCCTCTGTGCCCTCGCCCGCACCAGAGGGCCTGCATCAAACCTCAGAGGGCCCAAGCCCGTTCCCTTCTTTCCAAGGTAGCTCAGGACACTATAACCCCTTCTGGGATGGATCTAGACACAGCGCGGATGTGGACAGCTCCTCCTCAGACTCCTCAGAAGCTGACAACAGCCTACCGCGTTTCTTTATTCGGACCAAAGACGGCAGTGAGCCTCCGCGCGACCACCTCCAGAGCTCCTTCGCCTACGTTTGCCACAAACTGGACGGCCTGCGAGCAGAATCGGACCAGGAGACGGGAAAAGATGGAGAGAGGCGACTGAGTTGCAAAAGTGAGGTGCTGAGCGAGGGCGCGTCTCAGTTCGTTCCCCGGGGTCTGTTCCGTAGCCAGAAGAGAGACGGCTGGTCCGTCTTGCTCAGGATTCCCGAGAAAAAGAACCGCATGTCCTCGCGACAGTGGGGGCCGATCTACCTGCGCTTGCTGCCGGGAGGCGTACTGCAGATGTACTACGAGAAAGGGCTGGAGAAGCCGTACAAGGAGATACAGCTCCTCCCCCAGTGCAGGCTCTCGGACCTTAAACTGGAAAGCTACGGCGAGTCCCGCAAAGTCCTCTCGGTGAAGGTGGAACACTTCTCGTACACGGAGAAGAAGCGCTACCACCCAAAGCTGGAGGTCAGTCACGAGGCGGAGGCAGAAGAGCTGCTCAAGTTCGGCTCCACGGTGCACGGCGACATGGAGGACCTGGTTGTCTCCATGGAGGAGGAGATCTTCAAATTGTGTTTGCACCACCAGCAGAGGCGGCACTACGAGGAGCAGGAGCTGTCCCTGCAGATCACCGATCATATGTGGGTACAGCTGGATAAGTTCGGAGAAGTCATGGAGCGAACAGCCCTCACCCAGATTCACTGTCTGGCTTTCCTGAACGGACTTGGGGATTGTTTTCTCGCCCTCAACGACCTCGGGCTGATGCGCAGCAACTCCAGCTACGGGTCCGAGGAGGACGGTGAACTCTGGATGGAGATCGCAGACTGCCATTTTCACAAATCTGTGAACGAGACAGAGTTTCAGAGGACCCGGCTGGTGAAGTTCTCACCTCCCGAGGCCTGCAGGGTGGAGCTGATGCGCTATAAGACGGCGATTTTGGGCTGCACAGATATCCCCTTCTCGATCAAAGCTGTCGTCACGGTTCAAGGTGCCTATGTGGAGCTCCAGGCCTTTCTTAACATGTCGGCCACCTTCCTTTCTACAGCGAGGGTGTCTGACACGTCCCCGCTGTGTGAGAATGTGGTGATCCGCGTGCCAGTGCCAGGCGACTGGGTCAAAGTGACGCAGACAGTGGCCTTGCTGCGGCAGAGGTCGCTGAAGGCCCGCATGAACAGAAACGCCTGCTTGGGCGCCGTCGGCGCACCAGACTCTCAGCCCGTCATGCAGGTGACCATCGGCACTGTGAAGTATGAGAATGTATATTCAGCCGTCGTGTGGAGGATCGACAGGCTGCCCGCGAAGAATACGGGTAACACATCGGCCTCGGCTTCTTGTGCATGTTATCAGTATGTTTGCTGCTCAGTGGTGTGACACTGTTTAACTACAAGTGACCTTTTGTTTTTCTCCTGCTCAGCAGTGGATCATCCCCATTCTTTTTCCTGCAAGCTAGAGCTGGGATCTGACCAGGACATTCCAAGTGACTGGTACCCTTTTGTCACCATGGAATGTGAAATTATGGGCGCAGTGGTGTCACAGACCAGGGTGAAGTCACTGGGCACTGCCAACGACATCCAGCCGCAGAAACACGTAACCAGTTGGACGCGCTACCATTGTCAGGTAAGGAAGGCCCACCAGTGTGATAATGTCTTGGTCAATTCGGGAGAAAACATAGTGCAGTTAACCTTATTTTGTGGGTTTTGTTTTTAAGGTGGAGGTGGAAAAGAAATGGATTGAAACGGAGTCACAGAAGCAGTCGGGCTGCATGACACAGTGATTATCAAAGAAGCTCTGACGAGGACGTGCTCCCTTTGGTCCGAGACATTTGCCAAAATCTTCTTAGCGGTGAAAAGGAATGACAAAAAAAAAATGAACAAAAACGAGGGCGATGAGGGACTTTCTGCTTATATCTGGTATCAAATTCATGCAATTACTCATAGCCTGTTAGTATTTCTCATGGAGGTTAACTGATTTTGTATCCTTTAACTGAGACTGAATTAGTCTAGAACTAATAAAAAAAATAATGTGGTCCTTTTGCCTAGCACTTTACATTTAATAGATTTATTAACTGTGCGCCTACAGTTTATATGAGTACTGTATATAAGCTTGCATTTGCGTCATCTGCACTGCCCTCCAGAATGATTCGCAGCCTTAATAAATGTACGCCGAACGGGCTGCATGAGATAAACGGCTTAAGTAATGAGCAATATTCACAGAGTTTGAGAAAAACATAAATATTATCAGCAGATGTTTAGGGTCAGGCCCTTTTGTTGCCCGGCAACGTTTAAAGTTAACATACTTCCAAACGTATTCATTTAATTGAAATCCTCAACATTTGTACTAAGTTCTGTGTGGCAGTGGCATGGCAGTATTTTGCAGCCCCCATGTAGGTAACCCCTTGTATCATTAAGCGTCACAACAAATGTGCAAAAACAATGTGGAAATGACTTGAGTGATGCGATTATAGTTGAACAAAAATACATTGATTGAAAGGTGGGTCACTTCATGCTGCGCCCCATCAGCATTTGTCTGAAGTGTCCCATTTAATTATGGTTAAAATGACTCCGGCTCAAAGCCAATTAGCAGCCATTTCTCAGCAGTGAGACACTCTGATCAAAGGTGCAAAGCAACATGAGAGAAACCGATAATTATATTATTTTTCCTCACAATGTCTTTGTCCCAAAAGGCTACAAAATAATGTCATATTTGAAGGTTTGGCCAAATACAGATGATGTGCTTTTACAGAATGAGACGGTAGTGTCGGTGAGAAACTAACCCAACAGGACTGGAGCGTTTCTTCAAAAAGCTGTAGAGTAGTAGCAGCTATGCTCAAACTCGTCGGGTCCGAAATTTACTGTGCAACATAGGGTATTATTATTACTATTATTATTACGTAAAGTGAGAAATTAATATTTCTTCATTTCACATTGAATACAACTCATTACTTGTGTTGCTTACCTCAAATTGACCTTTGACTTTATACTAAGGTTGTGTTCTGGAGGACTGTAATTTTATTTAAACAAAAAAAACAAATCTTTATTATGTGTTTTTTCTGCCTCTGGGTTGTGAATAGGTTGGATTTAAAAAAAAAAAAAAAAAAAAGACTGGTGAAGCTTCATAGGGAACAACAAGGCCTTTTCAGTGATGACTTTAATGTATAAGGTACCTGGCTTGAGCTGGATATTATGTATGTCAAGAGTAAAAATTGAATTAAAACTGTGTGTCTCATGGTATTTCTTCACAGACGTTTATGCCGTGTTAAATGAAGGGCTACTGCAAAACACAACACCATGTATTAGTTATTAACAAAGGAGCACAACAAACATCTTGATGAGTGTCAAAACAGCACAACTGAACTCCGTGTTGTCCATCATCTCAGTTTTGTTGAGCGACATCCAGCAGTGAGTAATGACAGGCTGCTGCTGCTGCTGCTCAATAAATGACATGTGATTGGTAGGAAACTATTTTTGAGCTGGTGCTGCATGCTGTGTTATTTGTTTTATTTGATTAACTGTGGTAGTTCATACGAGTTGAATAAAATCCAATTATTTTTGGGGCGATGAGACGAAGCTATTTAACGAAGCCGCAGCCTGGGCCCTTTGAGTCCCTGCTCTTCACTAGCTTGTTTCTTGTTATTAATTGTATGTCTATTAGTTTTCATGGTCTTTGGAGGTTTATACTTTAGGACGTTTCACTTAAACACACACAAATATAGATTCTTAACCCTAAAAGTGAGTGCAAAGTTTTATCGAAAAAGATAATAGTTGCACCTGATTGATCAAAATGGTTTCACAAATGATGTTGGAATATTTCTGTCTCAATCAACTTGTTTTTTTTTGTATTTCTCAAATCAAAAATGATCAGTAACTAGAGCCGGTTTTAGATTAGTTGTTAGTTCTGTTGATCCCGATAGGGGGCAGTGCTGAGTGGGCCCGTTGGTGTCATTGGCTGCAGTCTTCACAGAGGTGGATACTTTCATGTTGCTGATTTTAAACCACAGCTCTCTCATCCTCATCACGGGAGTCAACCTACAGTGTTGAAAGAGTGCCAGCATTACCAAACAGATGCTCTGAGGAAGCAGGGATCACAGTCCCTGCTGCTGCTGCTGCTGCTGCTACAGATGTATATTGAACACAGAGATCAAAATAAAGTGTTTTGTAAAGGGTGAAATATTTTTAACTCCTGGCATTGTGCATTCTTGGGATCAGACACTGAGCCCCCCAGCACAGTGTTACCTTTCTGTTGAAAGTAACCAGAAAATTAAAGCTGTGTTGGACAGAGATATTTGAGCCACTACTAAGGTACTGAAGCCCTATTCAACAAGAGGATGTATTGGAGATCACAGTTGTGGGTGGGTGTAAGGTGGCCTGCACAGGTGGCATCCAGCTCGGGCATGATGCCTCTCAAGCTGCAGGAGAAATTCTCACCATCACCTTATTGAAATGTGACCAACGCCATCAGACGTTTGGTTAACGCCATGTATATGCAAAATGAGTCACATAATTGTTTTGATGGTAAAATAAATGAGATGCAAAAACGCACTTGCTTTAGCAGCAATTAAATTACATGTCCTCTCCAAACGTATTTAAAGTTTGGCATTATCCAGAAAGAAATGACTATTATCTCTACTTTCTGAGAATGCATCCAAACAAACATGAAGGTCTCAGCTCCAATCACATCTCTCCGTGCAGCTTGATTACTATCACCTGTGTGTCCACTTCCATGAATTTGGTGCAAAACAACCTGACTTCACCACCTTTAGGTGGAGGTATTTTTGCTTAGTACATCCGCGGTATTATGTTCCCAAAGTCCATCGTCACCGGACGGCAGTGATTCCTGCCTTGAATCATGCTGACCAACACAGGCCCGGTGGTAAGCAAAGCTGCTTTTAGCTTGTTATGCTACATGCTAACTAACTACTTGTGCTGTGAGTTAGCCTGCAACGGGTTGTGCGTAAACTAGCCTAATAAATGTGCTCCTGAACGCACCCTTTCTATTCAAATATGTTAGATCTACTCTGAGCCTCGAGGTATTCATTTGGAATAGCTCCGTGCAGTTTAATCAATCATGTTGTCAAGACAAATGTCATTAAAAAAAAATCGATCAGTTGGGTCACATGGCATTATATATTGCCAACTGTTAATATTAAGATGAACGATGGTTTTGTCACCTTAAGAAGCCTGCAAAGAAATATTATTTCACTTACATTTTAACTTAAATTTCTGTTTGATTAAATTGACTGAAATGAACAGTGTTGGGCACATCTTTAATCTATTCTGAAAATGACATTTTAGCTTAAAAAAATACTACTGTAGGCTACTGACGCGTAACCCAAAATGAAGAGTGATTTTAATATGTCTAGAAAAATATCCTGAGTTAACATTACACTATGAGTCTGCAGTTTCCAACAGTCTGCAATGTAGAAAAGGCTGATATTTGAATGGTGTATGTTGCTTGTAAAACAAGCAGCTCAACAGCTTCTGAGGTTCAGTGTCTGTAAACAACTGCAGGCCAAACTCTACTTGTCCATAATTGATGATGTGATTGAGAGTATGAGGGAGCTCTTCTTGGATGAAGGGCTTGAAGACCGCGTCCTGGACGATTTAAGACATGTGAGTCACACGGCCCTGCTTCATCTTTTAAAAATGGATATAGTGCACATCTTGACTCAAGGCGTCGGTTACAGCAAAGTTAGACCCATCTAGTGAGGAAGTATACACCACACCAGGAAGACCGACTGCTGTGTCTTCTTGCTGTGCAGCTTTGGGAGTCAAAGATGATGCAGTCAAAAGCAATGGAAGACTTCCGGAAAAATAACATCAACTCATCCAACTTTGTACTGCAGCTCCCTGCCAACTACAGTCGGACCGATCAAGAACTCACAGGTGATGCAGCTCTGCTTGAAATGAACCGCTTCATGCTTGGTTGATTTTTGTTTGATCACCTGCTCTGCTCTAAATTTATTTTTTTTGCTCTCAGCCTCAATTGTGATCCCTGCAAGTCAGAATATCCACAGTTTCCCCATGAAGGCAAGTGTCATGGAGCCTTATAGTACATCTTCTCCCTGACCTCGTATGGCTCTTTACATAAGGGGCACATAATACTTTCAATCTTGAAGGCAACTGAACTTCTTATCGCTTCATTAAATCAGCACTGGTACAATTTAAAGAACCTCACTTTAAGTTATTGTTTAAAGTTCAGATTTTGTTTGCATTCAGGATAAAAAAGTTGTTTAAATTGGATTTGTAAATTTCAGACTCAAACTTTAGACGTCTTAGGATTTACTTCATCCTCTCCCGATTTAAAAAAAAAAAAAAAGCAGCTAAACTATGTCAACGCGTTGATATGACAAAACTGTCTGATTGTTGATGTGCAGGCAGATTTTATTCTTGGTCGCCTGGACGTTCACGTTTTAAACTTAACCAATCACATTTTTAGCATAGTGATTTTTCTTTTTAAATATATTTAGACACAAGTTTCTGTCTCAATTTGTGAGCTCTAAAAATGACTTTTGAAAATGCATTGTGTGTTTTTAAAACAAGTAATTCAAGCCACAAATATTCAGTTAGATTGCTGTCATAGTATAATTCGTAATTGCTATAAAGGGCTATTATTAGTAACATTCACTGAATTTGTCTGACGCTTACAATGATACCGGTGAGACAGACCTGATGACCGCAGGGTTATCAGTGCATTAATGAGGCCAACCTCTATAAAGCACTATCAGACAATGTTTAATTGATAAGCTCAACATTTTGCAGTCATTACTATTTGATATGGTGGGTTATATTTTCCTTCATTGCAGAACAATTCAGAGATGCTTCCTACTTTCTCTCTACCTGCTGGGTTAACTTACCCTGTGCAGATACCAGCTGGAGTCACTCTACAAACAGCTTCTGGTACACAATGACTTGTTTAGCTTGGCCTACGTTTTGTTTTAGTTTGCAGCGTGCACCAATAGTTTGAATTAACATGTCCCTCTTCCTCTTTTGTCTCCCTGAGGTCAACTTTACAAGGTCAATGTTCCTGTTGTGGTCACTCAGGCCCCGTTGGGTCAGCCACTTGTATCCCAATTCACACAGAAGGTCAGTGAGCGGAGAGAAGCTCCTGTCCCTCAGTCAGCTGCAGCCCCACCAAATACCTCCCGTCGTCCTCAGGAGGTGGAGCCACCCTCTGTCCCGGCTACTTCTGACAAGCAGCCGCCACATCCAAAGACCGATTTCCTCCCCGGTCAGGAGAGCAGCCTCCCCCAGCAGCCGCTAGTTTCTCCTGCTGAGACCTCGCAGCCTCAGGGGGCCCACGCGCCAGAGCCGGAGGTCACGCAGGAAGAAAATGAGCCGAGTCCACAACCCGAACCCCTGAACCTCAGTATGAGCGCCTCACCCTTGAGTCAGTTATTAGACTTCCAGAGCAGCACCGAGGAGGCTTTGACACAGACGGGACAGTTAAAGACCAGAGACATCGATGACATCCTGAAGGAAGTGATTGAGGAGGAGAGGGAGAAGGCAGAAATGGCCCGCAATCTGGCGCCTGCTAAGACTGACAACCAGTCTGAGGCTGTTCTTGGGGTAATTTGAAAATAATATTCTGTCCTTAAGCAAATACCCCGAACAGAAAAGGCTAGATGTTGAGGTGCAGATGTCCATTGTTGAATGAATAGTTTTGGTGAAATAGACTTATTCGCTTTAAGCTGAGACTTGGATGAGAAAAACAACTTTCATATCTGAACACTAAATATGTTGCTGCAGCCATTTAGCCTTAGATTTTTTTTGTTTTGTTTATGTGCCAAACTATATAACAACATGTTGTACTATTCCTTTAAAAGGGCACTTTACCAGTGTTATAAAATGTGCGGAATTTAAAAGACTTGGATGTTTACAGGTAGAGAGGGTATAATGAAAAACACTGAGTTGCATTTTGGGAAGTGTAGGATCTTGCATTTTTGGACCCATGCGAAAAGTCTCAAGGTAATTTAATTTGTCTGAAATGACTGTTTCCATTCATGATGAAGCCTGCATTCATGTTGGCAAACTTTCTCGCAGTAACATTTTTTGATTACGAAGTCCCAAGATCTCAAATGCCTAAATGCTGTAAAACCGGCTGCTGTAGCAAATTCAGGCGGGCAATTCAAAGAAGACATTTTACCGTCACATGCTCCATATTCTCTGAACACGATCATGGCATAACTGTTGCATTTCTTCTCACAATTCCTGCTAAGCTGGACCTGGACTACAACTACAGCGAACTCTCAGACATCGTTCAGCTGGATGGTCCTGCAGACAACTCTGACATGGAAGAGGAAGAGGCCGTTTCCCTGGAAGACAACGACTTCCTGGGTATAATCAACGCGGAGGCCATAAAGGCCCTGCAGGAAGGAGACGGAAGCAGTGACGGCAACAGCATCTCCTCCGACAGCGACGGAGCAGATGAACTCGCCAACGTAGAGGATGAGGTGAGAGCGAGTTGGACGTACATTTTGTCATGCCACTGAAACATCTGTGTGTGGAAAACTCCATCTGATCTGTGTGTGAATGACATTTATCAGTCATGTTTTGCAGCATGTCTTTCATCCACGTTTTTAACAGCACACTTCTATCAATCAGGACCCTTTGAACTCGGGTGATGATGTGATTGAGCAGGACATCCCAGATCTCTTTGACACTGACAACGTAATTGTTTGCCAGTATGACAAAGTGAGAACATTTTGACTCTGTCGGTCATTGTTTGCCTCTCAACATGAGCTGATCAGTGGCTCTTAATGTTGTGTAAAATGTTCTTTCTGTTGCAGATTCACCGCAGTAAGAACCGCTGGAAGTTTCATTTGAAGGATGGAGTGATGTGTTACGGAGGCAGGGACTATGTGTTCTCTAAAGCTGTTGGGGAAGCCGAGTGGTGATGAGCTTTAGTTCCCTTGAATGCATCAGATAATCGTGGAAAGAGAGGAAACTGATTTAAAAAGGAAAAATAATGAGGGAATTTAGACGTCTTGGTGGTGTAATTTGTCTAAAAACACCTGCAAAAGCACCTCTGTGCAAAATCGGATACTTTTATTTTCTTTCATTATGTAATTATCAGAGCAATACTGCAAGTCGTTTATGATGTTACAACCAATTACTAACGGCGTTGCTCGTGAATCCAGTCTGCTGAGACAAACGGCATGAATTTATGTTGTATATTTTGCTGAAAATAGTTTTCTTTATTACTGAAGCGAAACATAATTTGATCTGGAATGTGTTTTCTTCTGTCATGGTCATGTTGCTTTGAGGGTACCTAATGTGCTGTTTGATTTTTCAAACTTTGTAATGTCTTGCCTTTAATCCTGCTTCAAATACACCGAGCTGCACTGTTGTGCTGCATTCAATGAACTCTTTTCTTTCTGTGCAAGCCCGTACAAAGCCAGTCGTTTTCATATTGTTTTTCTAATGAGGGTTATATCGTTTCACTATTTAAACCAAACTACGGGACAAATTCACTGAAACATGACAAAATTCATTTATGAATGCCAGCATGGACACTAAACTCGATTTAATGTTTGACTGTTTTGGATAGACACTCAAGCAGCTACTCGCAGCTGGAGAGAAAACACGTGGGAGGTGAAACAGCTCCAGCAAGAATTCACAAAAACAAATCAGTGACAAACCCTTGGAAAATGGTTTTGACATTGTCAGTGTTTTTTATTTATTTTTAGTGACAGTCTTTGTTGCAGTCCTTCTGTCGTTTCCTTCATATTAAACTGTAAAGTCGATTTGATATACAACTGCTTCAAATATTACATCCAAAATAGTGTAGTGTGCACATTCTCACATAGTATACTGTGCTTTAGAGCAGTGGTTCCCAACAGGGGAGTGGGGACCCCCTGAGGGTTGATACGTTTTCAATCTGAGGACATGGGCGGTTATGAACAGGATATGAAATCAGAAAAAGAAAATACAAAATTACATTTTGAAATATGAAAACTCGCTGCCACAGTGGGAGGATTTGTGGCACCACCTCAGCGTGATCTCTGTTTACCAGGTTCTGTAAACCAGATGCCATTTTATGCCAGTGATCAATAAGGTGAGCATGACCACACCGATCCTAGAGAACACTGAAATCATCCAAATATGTCTGTTCAGCATATTTCTCAGATATGAGAAAGAGATATTAATAAGGTTGACCATTGTAGACACAAACATGTTTCTAGGAGTCGGCCGTGATGACTGAAAAGATGGTGCTGAGTAGTGTTAAACGCTGTAAAACGCTGATAAACACGTTTTTAAACATTTTATTAAAATTCTATTCAAATCCCATTTTGAACAGCAGTACTCTTTAGCTCTGGCATGTCTTCAGTCTCCTGAGTACAAAAACCAAATAGATGGCACTAAAACTCATCTCTGACGGGCTGAAACAAAGACTTCCGTTTGATCACATTTAACTCATTGTATTCCACTTCCAACGGAACTAAATGTCTCTTCTTGTAACATCTTACACAAAGGCCGCTGTATATAATTTGGATCTTGATAACAAGTGACCATCAGTGCTTCGGAATAGATTCGCAAATAAACTGGGCTGTTTTATTTGTTCCCCATTCTCTGCTCCATCCATCTGCTTCTTTGTGCCACATTATTGTGCATAAATACAGGCTGCAGCACTCGCTGTCTTCAATTTGAGGTCTCTTGGTCAAGACTGATACATTTCTCACTTTGTAAACTAACCTAGATCAAATCTGATCTGACGCCTGCCATGTACAAGACTGAGACACTCTTCACCTATATGTACCTACAGTTTTAAAGAAATGCTACATCTCCAGCAGCAGATGCCGCCTTTATGTTCCGAATACAATTCCCGGTGTTGGTGGTCATGTGGCTCCCTTATTCAGAAAGCAATCCTTCATCTTAATGTGATAGGCATAGAAGCTGAGCGAGTGAGGATTCCTGTTGGGAATCTTTTGGGTAGAGTTGAGGTGTGACGGCAGAGCCTGTGACCTGTAGAAGTCATTGTTGGCGTGGCAGCAGCCGCGGCGACTCAGCAGCTGGCACATGTCCTTCCTGAACGCGCGTGTGAAGAGGGTGTACAAGAAAGGGTTGCAGAGGGAGTTGATGGGATAAAACAGGATGAGCAGGATCTTCGAGTGAGACACGGTTATGAGGGGCACACACAGGGCTGCGGAGATGGCGAAGAAGGAGATTGGGGCCATGCACACGAAGTCTGTGAAGATGAGCACAGCCATGCGCTTGGCAATCTTGGTGTCGCCATGACGGTTAGAGTGCTCCGGGTTGCGGACACTCAGGTATATGCATATGTAACAGTAGCAGACCACCAGGAAAGCGGCGACGTTGAGGATGAGCACAGCCACCACGTACACCTGAGAGCCCACTGTGTCGATGTCCATGGGCAGACAGATGCTCACTTTGCTGTAGCTGCTGACCCCCACAAGAGGGAGCAGGGCGACCAGCAGAGAGAAGGCCCAGCCTGCCCCCATTATGGCCGCCACGTGGTGCATCCGCAGCCTCTTGTTGACATGCATGGCATTGGTGATGGTGTGCCAGCGTTCAAGGCTGATCACAGTCAGCGTGTATACCGATAGCTCGCTGGCAAACACTGTGAGGAACCCTGCAATGCCGCATCCGGGCCCCGTCTGCCAGTCCGTGGCGTGGTTGTAGTACTCGTGACGGGAGAGGGAGTCCATGAAGGCAATGAGCATCAGGTAGAATCCCATGCACAGGTCGGCGAAGGCCAGGTTACACATGAGGAACCTGGAGATGGTTAACTTGTGGTGGCTAATTAGCAGCATAGCGAGAACAGCCAGGTTGCCGGTCACAGCGAACACGGTGATTATCCAGGTGAGACAGCGCAGGAAGGGGAAGCCCAGCAGGTCCTCACAGGGGTTAAAGGCATCCGGCTTTGGCGTGCACTTGACGAATGGGCTTTTAAGACAATCAAATTCCAGGTCCGGGTACTGAAAGTTGATGTAATCGATAGGGTCCTCGCCATCTGCAGTGGGCTCTCTGAAGAATACACAGATATTGAGATTACTATAAAAATCACAGAGCAATTGCAATTGATCAGAGGGAATTATCTGTGTAGGAACAGTGTGAAAATGATTGGAAGGAGAGGACTCAGAATAAGGGAGGTTTATATATGTTGCATTTTACATATATTCTTTGGAGGGGGATTACTTTTTCTTTGGATGAATCCCAGATTTATTTTATGTACAAAAATATTGTGTGTCTGTATTAGAGCTATATTTTAGAAGTTAGAATATGTGTCGAAGTTCAGAGCCACACCTTTATTTCTTCTTCTGTGGTCCCTGCTATGAATTCCTTTAGGCCCGTCCCCTCTCGTACAATTTTCATGTGGGAGAGGTGGGTGTCATTTCTTTTGACACATTTATTTCTCCAATCCATCCCATTATTTCTCTTTTTGTTTTGTTTACATTTTTGTTTCCTACAATTTCCTCCCAACCCGTCAATATATTCATTTTAACGTAATGGCACTTAAAAATACTTTAAAGAGTGAGTGCTGCTAGCTTAAAGTTACAGTAAACTAAGCCAACTTATATTTAGTTTATATGTGTTTTATTAATTTTATTTGTGGAGGATCGGACTGTAGATATGGAGGTTGTGTTTGCCTATGTGTTTATCAGGATCAACAGAGCCACCCATAAAGAGACCCTGGTGTCAAAGGGTCTTTCCTATCTCACCAGCACAAAGCAGAAATCCACCGGTCACACACACACACACCAATCATTTTGTACAGTGCGCAGTAAAGTGACTTACAATTCAGTTTCGCTGAGATCACACAACTTTGTGAAGTTCTTTAAGGCACTTTCCCTTTAAAGAAAAAAGAAGGGGAAAGGTTAGAGCTCACAAAAGTTCAATGAACTCTTTGCTAATCACCAAACGACACCGGACAGAGCTTTCTTTCTTTATGCAGATGTGAATATGTTTGTTACGTCTCTGGGTAGCAGTTACCTTTGTTTCCGGCGCCATGTGTGGAAGGCACAGCAGTGGCTTGGGTACGCGAGTTCGGCCTCCAGCAGCTCAGCCAGGCTCTCCAGTGGAGGGAGGGTCTTCAGAGCAAAGGCAAAGCTGGCTTTCAGAAACTTCACCTGCCTCAACCCAGTAGGGGGGAGGGAGCTCAGAGCGGTGGAGGAAACATCCCTGATTCACACACGCAGAGAACACGGGCATATATTTCAGTCAAGATTAGTGAAGAATCAATAAGGCATTGGACTGCTACTAGTCACTGGAGCGGCGTTTAGTCCATTCACATGTGATTTAAACCGTTGGACGGATAGAAAGTCAGTCTTACCACCATTAGGTGTTTTGTTGATGGTGGTAAGAAATGCTGCTTCTGGCAAATCTGCTGAATCGCGACTGTGGCAGCCAAGCGCAAATTTAAAAGTTTTCTTATTCAAGGCGTTTCTAAAGAGATGCTCATTCACAACAAGAATACTTCATCACAGAATGGAGGTTATAATTACTGACTCTTAAGGACTGAATATATTTGATCCAAAATAAAAAATAACATTCAGGATCCACTTTGCGCCCTCATTTGATTGCATTACATGTAACCTGGCATTCATTAAATCTGAAAATATTCAGAAGTACCGCTGTGGAACCCCGCACATGCAAAAGGAAGACCGTCTTTTCCTGCGTGTCAGTGAATAATACCACAAATGCTTCTGTAATTCATAAGAGGACATTTCATATCTACAATACAGAGTTGCCGGCAATCAGAGACCTTGTGAGCTGCAGCTACAGCAGACTGGGCTATTTGCTCACTCATCAGTATTCATCAGTCCTGCCTTCCTTGTTGGTTGTTTACACAGACAGGCTGTCACCGTCCTAATGTTTATACAATAAAATGATAAACATTGTTATGAATATTAACCATGCTTCACTGTCCCAGTTCAAATATGGTCGCCTTAAATTCAGTTGATTGAAACAACAAAAGATAGCAAATGTATGGTTGCCCTCTCTCGTATTTAACTTTGCCACAACCTCTTCTCTTTAGCGTTGGGACTGCTTTATTTTGAAATCTACTCAAGTGCAATTGTCAGGTACAAGTATTTTACAACAGCATCTTCGTTTTTATACTTCTCAACGTTTCACATATAAATTAGACTTTTTACTCCACTACATATATTTAACAGATTCTAGTTACTCTGCAAGTGAAGGTTTTATAGTCAATCATATATTCAGTTTCTAAAATATGATGTATTTTTACTACAGATTAAACTGCCCAACAGTATATAATATAATAATGTATAATGATATAATAATTTAACATTTGAATTACATCTACTGTTTTACTCTCCACCAGCTCCTGAGATAAAATAAATGTCCCTTTAGCTACTAAATGCTCCACGATGTTGATTAGCTAGTTGCTCAGTTTGTTGCTCTGCTGTGG